CTTTATATGTTCTAAATCCTAGGTTACATATCTCTTTATATGTTCTAAATCCTAGGTTACATATCTCTTTATATGTTCTAAATCCTAGGTTACATATCTCTTTATATGTTTTAAATCCTAGGTTACATATCTCTTTATATGTTTTAAATCTTAGGTTGCACATCTCTTTATATGTTCTAAATCCTAGGTTGCACATCTCTTTATGTGTTCTAAATCCTAGGTTGCACATCTCTTTATATATGTTCTAAATCCTAGATTACATATCTCTTTATATGTTCTAAATCCTAGGTTGCACATCTCTTTATGTTACATATCTCTTTATATGTTTTAAATCCTAGGTTACATATCTCTTTATATGTTTTAAATCCTAGGTTGCACATCTCTTTATATGTTCTAAATCCTAGGTTGCACATCTCTTTATATGTTCTAAATCCTAGGTTGCACATCTCTTTATATGTTCTAAATCCTAGGTTGCATATCTCTTTATATGTTCTAAATCCTAGGTTGCACATCTCTTTATATGTTCTAAATCCTAGGTTGCACATCTCTTTATATGTTCTAAATCCTAGATTGCACAACCAACATGATCAAAACACCAGCAAACAGCGCAGAAAGGACATCAAAGCAGAGAATTTTACTCACTTCACGTTGAAGACCGTTTCATTGATGTACACGTATTTTCCATCAGTGGCTAAGGACCATTCATGGCAGACTGAATCATCATAAAAACGATTCGGGTATCCTTCTACAATGTACCATATTCCGTTGTAAAACTACAATTTAAAGAAAATGTATAGTTAGAACGGGAAGCGAAAAACCCCAGATAAAGTCAAGCATTTCTAGATTTCGAAACATTCTAAGGTGTGGATTTGTTTATAAATATGAAGTGAAGTTATTTTAATAGTAATCCGAATACTTCTCTTCATTCAAAAAAAAAGTTCGTGCCACTTTTCATTATATATATATATATAAGCTAATCAATTAGGGATTTTACTCTAATTCTACTAACGCAAAATATTTGTATCCTTTTCGCATTAAAAAACCATTAAGGATTTTATTGTAATTCTGTACGTCCAAACGTTCATGTCACTTATCATAATATGTAAAAGTTAATCAATTGGGGATTTAATCGTAATTCTGTACGTCCAAACGTTCATGTCACTTATCATAATATGTAAAAGTTAATCAGTTGGGGATTTTATTGTAATTCTGTACGTCCAAACGTTCATGTCACTTATCATAATATGTAAAAGTTAATCAATTGGGGATTTAATCGTAATTCTGTACGTCCAAACGTTCATGTCACTTATCATAATATGTAAAAGTTAATCAATTGGGGATTTAATCGTAATTCTACTTATCCAAAATGGTCTTGTGACTTTTCATAATATATATAAAAGTTAATTAAGAAATTTATTACGTTTTATCTTTAATGAACACTAATGTTTTGTTTCCTTCATCACCAGTCTCCGAAACTTCATACTTGAGTGAAATATTCAGTTTGAAAAACTGAATGGTGAACGCGTCATGAATGTTCTTCGACTATAAATCACGTATGAATTTTAATATTAAATAACACCACAGCAAACTAAATCAGGTATGTATTTTAATACTAAATAACACCACAGCAAACTAAATCACGTATGTATTTTAATATTAAATAACACCACAGCAAACTAAATCAGGTATGTATTTTAATATTAAATAACACCACAGCAAACTAAATCAGGTTTGTATTTTAATATTAAATAACACCACAGCAAACTAAATCAGGTATGTATTTTAATACTAAAAAACACCACAGCAAACTAAAATCAGGTATGTATTTTAATACTAAATAACACCACAGCAAACTAAATCAGGTATGTATTTTAATACTAAAAAACACCACAGCAAACTAAAATCAGGTATGTATTTTAATACTAAATAACACCACAGCAAACTAAATCAGGTATGTATTTTAATACTAAAAAACACCACA